AGAGCTGAGTCTTGACCAGGGTCTTGATGAATGAGGCTTTCTTATGTCCTCATACACAATAAAACTTTGTGCTTCCAAAATGCAAGATCAGACTCCTCTACTAAATTCCATCAAGTTCACTTTATTGAAATTTCCAGTTCTCCAACAGTTACCCCTTCACTGTGTCTTATGTGACTAATGTGTTCATCACAAAGGCCGCAGTGTCTTCTCTTAAAATATACATGGCATGATGGGTGGGCTGTTTAAAGAGCTCAGCCCACAACCCACACACTCTATAGGTGGTCTGTCAGATACTCAGTGCCACTGGGCTTTGCTAGTGCCTATTAGCCCTCTAGGGGAAACATCACACCTGATTAGCTTGTGGTGAAATCCCATGCTAAATATATTCATATTTCTTTGGAAACTGTAGCTCGTGCTCCTGTAGGAAACTGCTAGGTGTTACGTCATGGAGGTGCAGAATGTGTTTGGAGCAGAAGGTGGTTTTTTCTGGGACAGGGCTGTGGTCTGCACTGTTAATAGGCTCTTAGTGTATTTATTAGTCATCTCCTGCCCACTGCATATCAGTCAATAATCATGTAGAATAAAACTGTACGTCTGAAACTGGCAGTGAGATCTATCTCCCTTTCATTGCCAAATCTGCTTTGGGATTTGCAAGCCTAGTTCAAGCAAGCATGCAGTTTGCAGCCTCTTGGCACCAGGTATGCTGCTGGTAAAACATATGTCTCACTACACCACTATCTAAAGCTTTGTTTTTCTGCTAGGAATCATCCAGCTTGACCAGGTGATCCAGGTGCTCCTCACCACTGGCATGTTCGTGGGTGGATTCCTGGGGTTTATCCTTGATAACACCATTCCAGGTAGGATTTGCTGAAATGTACTACTGGTTTGTGCCTGTGATAGGGTTTGTTTCCTGGTATTTTTTGTCTTTGTGACTACTGTTCCATGGGCAAGAGTTGCACTAGCAACCATGAGGCACCATGAGACTGTACTCCTCCCAGGGAGGGTTGAGGAAAGGAGATGTCGCTGAAAACAGCAGCATAACAAAAACTAATTGTCAGGAACAATCCAGGCTGAGGAAAAGGTTTATTTGGGAAACATGTCTTTTAGGGAAAATGCCAGCCTAGAGCCATGTTGCTGGTAAAAATGAAAAAGAAAGGCAGTTACAAGAAGTGGAAGGAGCCAACATGTGCCTACTTATGGGAGCTGCTAAAACAGAGCCACAGCAGTGGAAAGCAATAGGAAAATCTGATGACCAAAGAGAGGATATAGCACCTGCAGCTGTCCCTCAGAGGGACAAAGAGCCTCGGATTTTCATCAAGCCTGGGGAGGGATGGCATAAGAATAGGGGATGAAACCCTCTTTTCTGCTACAGGAAAAGAGTAGGAATCTGTTAACCAGATTCTTCTACTGTCTCGGGCTTATTGGAAAGCCTTTGGGTCATTAATTTTCCTGTAGCCCTCAACCTTCAGCTCCTCCAGAATTTACATGTATGCTCACTCCTTTTCCCAAGAGGAAGTCAGCTGCCACAACAGTTATGGGCCCTTAGGAATTCCTTAGCTGGAGTAAACACCTGTGACTGACTAGTAATTGCTAGCTAAATCCACTCTGAAGTATCTGGGCAGTTAACATCCAGCCTTGCTTTCACTTCACTGTATGACTTACTTTGAACAGTATTTGGATCCCCCATGGCAGGTGAAAAATTTGTCTTGGTATACTTGATTCCCGTGGAAAGCAGTGGAGAAGACTGCTTATCTGGAAGCCATTGCAGGAAGACATGTATTGTCTGGAAGCTCATTAGTGAATATTTTTAAAGAGCTTTGGAGCTAGAAGGGTTTAAGTACAAGGGATCTGTATGTTGTGCTGGGCCTGCTGGATTTGAGAAGTGGGTGTGAGGCACACAAAGTAGTCCTGTGCTCAAACACCTGCTGTTTTAAACACAACAATCTCATTTTTGCTGTTGCAGGAACACAGGAGGAGCGGGGGCTCCTGGCGTGGAAGCATAGCCACAAGGGAGGGATGGAGAGCTCTCTGCTCATTTCCAAGGTCTATGATCTTCCATTTGGCATAGGCACCAAATACTGTGCTGTCTCTTGGTTTCGGTATCTCCCTGCTTGCCCCAAAAGACTGTCTGGCAACAAGAGAATGGATGAACTGAAGGCTGCTGGACAAAAAAGCACCTTTAAAGCAAGCTCAGAAAGAGACTCCGAGATCGGTGCAGATACAAGGATATAAGGACCTGGCCTCAGCACAGGTGAACTCATCTCAGAAGCAGAGGTCTGAAAGCCTGTCTGCAGCCCCTGTCATTTGAGCATGAGCTGGCAGCTGTTGAGGGTGGAACAGGAGAATAATGTATTCCACTTCCCAGCTCTGCTCCCTGCACCACTGGTGACCTTGAGGGAGTCATTCTTTTCCTCTCTCCTCCTGCCTGGCCACCTCTAGGAAGAACCTAATCCCTCTTCAGGGAACACCAAAGCCCAAGAAATGCCTGAGCAAGATGTTCTGTTTCCTTCCTTGCACTGAATGTTGGGCACCCCAAGGACCAGCTGTTCAGCTGAAGCAGAGGGCTTCCTGTGCCCTCATCTGGCAGCTCAAGGAGCCAATGGAGAAGGCGTCCCTGATGTGGGCCCTATAACACTCTCAGGCATCCCTTGGGTTGAGACTAATCCCTACCACCTTTAAGATCTGTAATGGCAACACTCACCTTTCAGCTTGTGTTTTATACCTCATCCTGGCCAAGGGGAAGGAGCAGGCACCTCTGGGTCATGATTCATCTCATTCCATGTTCCGATAATTTAGTCAGTCAAATGAATGTTGTTGTAAGAGAGTTATCTAAGGTTAATGGGATACATTGAATTCTGAACCTGCCTCTCCCTCCTTAGACCACAGAGGGACTCCAGAGACCTTACTTAAATTCTTGGCCTAACCCAGCTTCACTGAAATGTATCCCACTTGGGGTGCTGGGAGCAGTCTCAGGTAAGCCAGTTTCCCACAGGGCACCCTGCCCTACAAAGAAGAAGGAATCCTAATCAAATATGAAGGAGAAAATTCTTCTGTTCACAATCTGATATGTCCTGTGTACCCCCACTGTACCTGTCAGTCTGATGTGGTGACTGTGTGGTGACAAGCACTTCTCTGGAAAACATGTTTGCAGATTCTTGCTCCTGCTCCCTATCAGCAGAGACAGCCTTAACCTATATGGTCACATACAATATGACTGCATGTGGTGCTGGTTGCTGGTGATGTGTAATAACATTGTTGCTGTAGCACAACCTTGTGTTTCCTGCATTGAGATTTATACTTCCTTTTTTTTTTAAAATAAATAAAATGTATGCTGTAATGATATTTCTCAGGGTGGTTTCTATAGTGAGGGGAAGGTAGTATTCAAAGAATCACAGAGTAATTCAGGTTGGCAGGGACCTCTGGAGGTCACTTGGGCCAGCTCTTGCTCAGAGATGGTCCTGCTAGACCAGGTTGCAGAGGACTGTGTCCCACTGAGCTATGGATAGAGAGCTATAGTCTCTTTGGGCAGCCTCTTCCAGGTCTGACCACCCTCATGGTGTAAAGTGTTTTCCCTTGTGCCTAACTGGAATTCCTAATGCTTCACCTTGTGTCCTTTCATGGTTCTTCTCTGAGAAGAGTCTGACCTTGTCTTCTCTGTACCCTCAGCTGGACAGCTGAAGGCCACGGTATGATGGCCCCTTCAGTCTCTCTTGTCTCAAGACTGAACAAAACTGTGTGGTTTCAATGAAAAGCCTGTTACAGTCTTGTTCTTTGGTCCCACACTGCAGCTGTAGTGATAGATGGTTTGTTTATTGGTAACAGATATAATGTGGTTTTTTACTTGGAGAGGGAATGAAGCCTGAATAGATCAATTGTGTGAGTATTAGCATCTTAAAGAAAGAAACATTATGGTATAAATAGTTTGCTGTTATGGGCAGATTGGAAAGACTCTGTTGGCAATTGTTTTATTGGAATTGCCGTGTCTTTGTTGCATCTTGGGGTTGTTATATCTTTCAGAGAAAAAATGATTTGTACATTGAAGTATATCTGACTCCCCCTCCACCATTACACATTTTAGATATCACCGGTCCCAGGCATCTCAGCTCTGGTATCTTCTTCATCATCCCCAACCTTGACTATATCTCTAGGCTCATTTAGAGCCAGCCTATACTCCCAGGCTGCTCTCTCTAGCAGGCAAATCCATGGCCTTACTCATCATCTCTCTCAAATTTACCTGTGCTGTAGCACATGTGTGAAAGTGGGTTGAAGGTCTATATCACTGTGTTCCTGTGTCTGTGCTGAAGCTGCCAGGCTGCTGCTGGCCAGACCCACCACGGGCTAGAGGTTTAAATGGGAACAGGACATACAGCTAATGGATGAGGTACAGAAGTCACATCAATAGGGTGTGTTCCCCATAAATGAGGAACCCTCAGTAATTTTGCTGTCTCCATGTTAGGTATATGGCTACAGCCATATCTTTTTGCTTCTCCCCATAAGACATGTTAGGATGCTGGCAAGTGCCAGAGGCTTATATTTGCTTTAGCTTTGCTTAAAAAAAATATTATTGGCACAAGTTGATTATGAAAATCAGTCTAGAATTGGCTTTTTATTCCCCACCCCACAGCTGGAGAACATTGTCTATCTGTTGTGCTGTCACCCTGCACACCCAGCCTGCTGCCACGTCTGTATGTCCCCATCTTGTATTTGGCTTGCAAGCTCCCTAGAGCTGGGCACGACTTTACACATCCCCAGAAGAGGCACGTTACCCAAGCACACCTATGGCTCTGGAGGTGCAGACAGCTGCAGGGCAACAGCCCAGCCCTCTTGAGTTCAGTCTAAAAGCCTGGCTGCTGAAGACCAATCAATACCTGGGCGTGCCAGCTTTAGTTTAGGTTTTAAAATAAAACTTCTATCCTTTCTGTTTGTGATGGCTGTTAGCATGACTTCAACATAATCACTATCAGAACACAATTTGTTCAAGTCTGCAGAATAGCCTTTAATGATAGCTCTGAGATGTGAAGGATTTTATTCATTTTCACAGCACATTAATTCTAAGACACTATTTGAGCAGCACTACTCATCAAAGAATTAGATATGGAAGAAGAGCACAGGGCTGATCACTCAGCTTTACACACTTTTCAAAAGTAAATAATCCAAAGTGTATTATTGTGCCTGCACTTTTCTGGGTGATTTGGGAGTGGGTGCCCACTGCTGCTGTCCTCATAAAGAGACAGAAGAGCCTCATCCCACTCTTTGTGAGGAAATCCATCTTTCCTTGTCAGCCCAGGCTAAAAAACAGCACCAGAAAAGTAATCACTGTCAGGGTGGTGATTTTTACAGGTTGCAGTTTGAGACTTGCATCCTATGGTAGTGTGCAGGCTGCCATTGATGTGGCCTCTCTGCTGCTCTTCCACAGGTTATGCTAGGCAAGGTCACTTAACTGTACATGCCTCAGTTTATTTGTGAGGCGAGATTTAACATTAAATAGTGATGGATAAAAACATTTATTAAGATATAATAAATAGCTAAAACCTTTAAGACTTTTAAAAAGTATAAATTACTCAACTGATATATCAAGAAGTACTAATGAGGGAAGGAGAAGTCAATGGTAACAAACCACTTCAACGCAGTGTCTCCACGCACTGCTCAGAGAGGTGCTTCACTGAAGGAGGTGAAGCCTCTTCACGTGCCTGGTGTACCTGACACTGCTTGGCAAAACATTAGCAAAGAGAGGTCCTGTTTAGAAATCTTCATCATCGAAGGTCTCAGTGCACCTCAGCATCACAGTCTCATAATCGTATGGAAGATCTTCTTCCTGAAAGCCCCCCCCAAGTCAAGCAGGATTAAAAACCAGTGGAGTTGATTGTGTTTCAAATATACAGTGGTTTGGTTAAGAGCTGATGTGTCAGCTACTGTACTGTGAGCCCTCCCTCCTCTCTGAATCAGCAACCAGCACTTGTCAAGTGCCTGAGATGCCTGATGAAGAATGGCTCAGATTTTCAACCAATTTCCTTTTGAAATCACCAGGCTCCACTCTCTGTCATTTAGACAGCTGTTACTGATTGTGATAGCAAGTGTGTCACATAACAGGCTCTGAAGATATGAGAGCTTCTTGAGGCCTTAACTTCTACCTACTTCAGGCTTTGCTCCACTTTTAGCAACAGAAGGAAGTGGTCTTCTCTTTCACCAGCTTACAGAGAATAAGCGGCTCTTGAGAAATCAAAGTCTGGAAGATGAAAGTGTTCATGCTTGCAGTCCCTCTAGTCCATCTTCTGTACTGATGCAGGACTCTTTAGGGAAAGACTGCTTTTAAAAATAGGTGCTGTTTAAAAATGTATAGCTTAAGAAGCACTAAATCCCACTTGCTTGTCAAGTGACTCATCTAAAATCCATAATTTTAAAAGAAAGCGTTCCTTTGAAGACACAAAGGTGCTCAGTACTATTTAGAAAAAACCCCACTGACTTTCATTTAGGCAAAACCTTTGGACCTCAGTCTAAATTAATTCTTTACTGCCTTTGCTGCTAAGCTCCTCTTATGATGTGACCTTAAGACAACAGCTCTTGAAAGATGACAAGATTGCTTAACTAATCTCAAGTTCAGAAATATTTCTCTATCACGTACCATGGAAGCATGCTCCTGTTCTTATTTTTGCATCACCACCCTTTAAAGAGCTCTCCCTTTCCTTGTCCAAATTATTGCCTCCCTTATCTTGTGCAAGTCCTTCTGAAGTTTTTTATACCAGTGGGGTGCATGCCCTTGGCAGCCTTGAGAGCCAGAGCAGCAGCTCAAGAGGAGCTGTGCTCGGTAGCTCTGTGGCTACAAAACAGTGACCATACACAATCCAACAGCAATACTTTGTACCTGTAAAGTTTACTAGAAATGGCATAACATAGCACTGGCATGAATGACCAGCAATAAACCCCATCACCTCATCAGCTCTGCAGATGAAAGGAAAGGAGACCACAGGCTGCCTTTTGTATTTCAGTTGGATGCACATCGCACGCCTTACTTTAGTACTTACTGTACCTGCTACCCACCCCTGTATCTTCTACAAGGTGTGTGACTTTAACCTTGAGATAATGTATCCCAGCACTGTCCAAACTCCTGGGCTAGCATAGCGCCAGCACAGGTACCATTTCAAGGGAAGGGGAGTGGTCTGCAGGGGTTCAGTCATACCCATAAGGTAAGCAGGACGGGTTCCTTTCCCTGTTAAGTCCAGGAGTCTCTGATGCTCTGAGCGGCCCAAATTCTGGGGCAAGGTGAGTAGCCTATACTGATCTCTCTGCTGCTGCCTGAGTTGGTGTGTTTCAAGCTAGCTGGAACATCTTCTATCCCTGCTCTGCAACCACTTTCATAACTGTCTCAATCTGTTTGCTTTGAGATGGATCCAAATTTCTGCTCTCAAAACAAAAAATATCTTGTCAGTCATTTTTTTTTTTGCCTCTTGGCAGCACTGTCTAGATGTGCTGTACTGCAGTCTAAATTAAAACAGATCGTGACCTTCACATTATTTAGCCTTGGTGATTTCCGCTCAAACTCCCTTTTTGTTGTCTTATCACAGACAACTAAAAGTTCCTGCATGAAAGAAGTGTGTGCAGCCTTTTATTTCCTTTTGGACCCACAGAGTACAGTCAACTGCCAATTTGCAGTACTTTGGGTTCTTTTGCTGCCTGTCTTCCCATTGCTCCCATTCTCCTAGTCTTATTTTAAATGTGCCTTGAAAGAGACACTACCTCTTCCCATACCACCTCATCTGGGAGCTGTGAGATGGACTTGGGCTCAATGATGCAGCACCAAGGAGAAGGACAAAAGGAGACCATGCCAGGCATGACACTCACAAAAGAAATTTAAAACTGGAAAATACCATATCTTGCCTAAAGCTTTTCTTTGTTTTCTAGGCCTGCTCAGTTCATGGTCATTTACATAAACACAAGAAGAGCTCTGCCCTTATGCAGAACATAGAAATTCACAGACCAAAGAGCTGCGTAGACCAGTGCCTGGTCTCTGACAATGACCAGGAGTGGAAGTTTAGACAAAAAGTGCAAGGACTGCACACACAGTGTGCTCTGTTTCACAATATAGGCTCCTACATTACAGCAAGCTGCTGTGAGGGCCTCCTGAGCTGGAAGTTGTATTTGGACCTTCAGATTTAGCAATTGCCCATGGATTGATGCCCCTGGAATTAAATCTGGTAACTTGTAAATGTAAGTGTTTTTAACATGTCGCTTGTTCATTTTATTGTGTGCTTTCTAGTTCTTCTGGTGTTAGACACAATGAATAATCATTCTGTGTACCAAATCCACACCATGCAGGAACAAAACGGTCTTGCAGTACCCCTCAGTCTTTTTTTTGTAGAAAAGTCCTACTCTAAAGTTCCTGTTCAATGTCTTTGCTGTGCCTGCTGGCATTCTCTATACCTCATCTAGTGCTACTGTCTCCCTGAGATGGAGGAACCAAATGGCACTCAGCAGTCACTGTAGATTCAGATAGTGGTGCAGCACAAGTTTTTGCTTTGTTTTCTGTTACAACTATCCCTCATCACAAACCCTCTATTTTCATTCAAAGGAGCATCTGTTCAAGTACCAGAGATTGGGTGGGAGCTAGGCAATAGAAACTAGCAAACCAATGGCTACTGTGGAGGCACAGTTGACTCTGAACCAAAACAAGCATGCTCTGGCTGAGGGATATCTTTTGGTTCTTCACCCACGTGCAAGCTCTGAGCCACCTCCTTGGCAGGAAGATAAGAACGGGAGGAAGAATGCTGCAAACACAAGGACTTGTTGGCTCAGCAAACCTGCAACAGTAGGCTGAAGTCAAGAGGCAGCTCAGGAACTGCTTATCAGCTCTCTCAAGAACACAGATATCCTGCTCCTAAGGCCTGCCAGTAGAGGTCTTAGGGTAGGGAACCTGGCACCCAGATGAAGGTGGGTCATACTGAACTCAGAATGAAGCAGCTGGGGGTTAATGGAGAACTGCAAAGTGAGCTTTGCCTGCTCAGAGGAGATCACTCAAGCTTTTCCACAAGGAACTTTCATGCAAAAAATAATAAAAAAAAAATTTAAAATTCCTCATGTCATTTGCCATTTTGAATAATATTCAAAGCAATAATAACCTCTCACACTTTGCTTCTTACAAAGGCAATCCTACTGACACATCTGAAGTGATGAACCCCAAGTTCTTATTTGTAATCATTCTGGACAATATGATCAGAAGCACAGAATACAGAAATCCTTTTCTGATACTGACAGAAATACATTGCTCCTTCTATAAGGAATCCTTTGGCAAGGCTTACCTGGAAAAACTGTGTATTAGCAAAGAAGAGGCGTTTTAGGAAGTCAGTGACCAGCAGATAGAGTCTGTGGTGATCCTCTGGATTATCAGAATTGCAGCTTGCAATTGCTGAACTGAAAATAGAACCAGATAGTGTATTTAATTTCCTGTTCCCTTCTCTTTACTTTCTCTCCTCCACATTTTACTTATAAATTAAAAAAAAAATTCAAATTGTTTTCAAGATGATTCCGATGTTAAAGACAATAGCCAAGCAAGGCAGAGAGGAGTGGTGGTGGATGCATTCATGAGATACTATCTAACAAATGCAAGGACAACATGCAAGAACAGAGAACAGCAATTCAAGAAACCAGTGTCACAACAAATAGATCCACTGATACATGACAGCTTTAGTAACATTGTTTTGGGGGAAAGTATATATCCATTAAAACAGAGAGCAACTATGGTTATTGGGTAGTGTATTTTGTAGGGTTGTTCAGAACTTCTTTTGTAAAATTTTTCAGTGAATGAAGTAACCTGTGGTGATGAAATGACATGTAGGTTTGTACTCAGGTAACTGTGGCAAAAAGCTAAGCTATTCATTCTGGACCTTACCTCTATATTCTTCCTGGGATTTTACAAAGTTCTGCCATCACACCTCTGTCCAGAATTACAAGGGAGGGAACAGGATAAATGTTGACTATTGAAATACTAATATGATTTGGGACCTAAAACAGACTGTAAAGATGATGGCAACACATTGCAGTATTAAGGAATATTTAATCTTATTTAAAATGCAAACGGCAGTTGTGACCTAATAAATGTTATTTAATAGATAAATGTTTGTTAAGCTTTTTTATCCATTCATGTATATTCTGATCAACAGCCCAAACAACCTTATTTTAATTCATTCTCTTCTGAAAGTGCAATCTGGAACGGTGGTGAAAGAAAGAGATTCAGACTAAAGAGCACTCTAAATGTAGAAATATAAGTAGAAAACGGAATTAAACCCCTCACAGATTAAAAACACTATTTGCAAAGAGAAACAATCCTAACAAAGACTAAGTAGCAAGAATACACAAAAGACGAGTCATAAAGTGATTTTCCTCTTGAAGAAAGCAACCATTTTCTTTCTTTGGTCTACTGGGAAAAATCAAAGACAGTGCCAGCTTTGTATTTGACATGTTCTCTTCACGGTAACTCATCTGACCTGAAGAGGAAAGAGATATTATTTAATAGGCCCTGTGTTTCTTTGGTGTTACTGTTCAGGTCAACCACACTTGAACCTAATCGCCTCTTTGTGACTGAATTAGGGTACTTGAAAAAGCTAAGGGAGAAAATGTTAAAAAATTATCATTTTTGTCTCATTAAATAAGAGTACAGTTTATGATTAGCTGATCTATGCAGGGAATGCCTCATGGTCCTCACAGATCTGGTGAGAGAGTGAAAAAGAAAACATTACAAAGTACTGTAACTTGAAAAAATGGAAAGCTATGCAGAGTGGTGAATAAAATCAGAAGGGCCCCAGTTATCCTGAAGTGACAGGCTGCTCTTAATAAGTGATTCATACTGATTCTGCTTTAAATGACCATTAGTCATTTCACTTTTGCACCTTCAAAGGAAGTATTATTGTGAGCACAGTTGCTGGAGGCTGCTATTCTAACCATTTACTAAAAATTAGGCACAAAAAAGAGAGGTAGGCTATTGTCTTACTCCACAGAATACTTGCTGTGAAGTATTGACAGTGGGCTGTTAACTTACTGGTTCTACCAAAAGGGGTAATTTTGTAATTTACCTCTGGCTAGACATTCCCTGAGTCTTGCTTCTGTCAAGGAAACCAGCAGCAACATCAAATGCATCTTCAAACATTACCTAGCAGAGAAATCACTTCAGATGTCAACATATCCAGCCACCTAAAACTTTTACCTAGGGCATAATTTTTAATAGTAAAGTCTTTAAAAACATGATATTCTTTCTTTATATTTAATAGGTATGTTTACAGCTAGAGTAAACCAAGAGGTTTTGTGGAGACAGGAATAATAAGGAATAACTGTATTTCATGACTAAGAACACAAGGTGAAGGTCCATTCCCTTAAGCCTGTGCTTCAACCTCTTGGAATTAGACTTAATATTACATCTCCCAAAAAAATCAGTAAACCCCATGAATTGTATCAGTGCTTTTGAGGCTTGACCATGGACTGCTGCTTATGGCTGGAGATCTCAGCTGTACCAGCCAGTCTCTCCAAATCTGATTCTATTTCACAAAGGAGTTTAGATGCTCCCTGTGACAGACTAATAAGCTCATTAGTTCACTCTGCCATAATGCAGTTCACACATTTTCTGTGCCAGAAAGTGCTGTACATGTAACATCCCCATGACATTTCCTAAGGCGACGAGCAATATGAGTTGTGTCCTGTGACTCAAAAAGAACTTATCAATGCAATTTCCTTATATGCTAAAGGTAGACATCTGTCCCTCTGTTGCAGCTGATAAAATGACACATATCTCTTTGAGCAGCTAGTTGTTTCAGCAATCAGTGCTCCAGGAACCATTTCTAAAGAATTAGCGGTTATTTAATCCATGTCATCAATCTCTTTTTAACAAATGCCATGGTCTACTCAATCACTGACTTCTTGGCTCTGCAGAGGTGCATGGTACAGGCAGTCATTGGCCCTGTACCACTTGAACTGGTCTCTTTGCTACCAAGTGCTTTGATGGAAAAACCCCACCCAACCCAAAACACAGCAGGTTTGGCAAACTGGGTATTCCTTCTGAATTTGGATCTTCTGTGCTTCTCAGAGAGTTTGCAGAGCACAGGAACTCTTGTTCTTGCTCCCTGTCCCTGGAGCAAATTATGAGTAAATTTAACTGTTGCTCAGCACAGGATTACTACCACTGCACTCCTATAGCTTGCTATGTATCTTATCAAGAGAAAAGTTGGTGCAGACATTTACTCAAAGACTGCTTATTGTCTCCACTTATGCATTCAGGTGGTCTTGAGAAAGCTTAGTCACAACTACTGTATGTTTTCAATTAAAAGCTGCAGAGCCAATTAGTATCTGAAGGCTTGGAGTTTCAGAGGCAGACTATGTATGTTACTGAGCACTTACTTCCTCTGGTGTGGAGACTGAGGAACCACTGGCTTCCTCACTGTTACCTCCGCTGTCCCTCACGCTCCCTTCAGTGCATGCAGCCTCTTGGCCAGAAGCCTTGGAATCCACGAGGAAATCTCTCTGACTACAGTACTGCAAGATGCTGTCCCTGCTTTCTTCAGAAAGCTCTTGCCAGAAATGGGAAATAGCTGTGGAGACCTCAGGAAGAGGCACTTCTCCAGTGCAAACAATTCCATGCTCTATCAGCAGGTCCATTGTATGCTTATAAAAATACAGGTATCTGGAATGAAAGGAAAGGGAGCATCTCTTAAGAGCAGGCTATGAGGCAGCCATCTACTGAAAATCAGCAGGAGAGTGGGTAGTAGGAGTAGCTCTGATTCGTAGCTGCTTCACTGACTCCCCCCTCTAAGACTTCATACAATTATTGAAGATTGCCCAACACCATTTGAAGATTTTAGCAACTCTGTTCTGCCAAGATTTCATCTGCAAAAAACAGGCTCCAGCCACAGCTTCAGCAGGACTGCCTCACAACAAAAGCTCCAGGCACTGCAGGTTGTACTCGTTGCACAGGCAGACCTCATTCTGGAGTTTAATCAATTTTCAGCTACTTGCCTTTGTATTCTGAGCCTTTTGCACTGCAAGTCACTTTTTAGACATTTACTGGCGTTGCGCTACACTTTAAAGCCCTGTCTGAGGTGTCAGGTACTTGTACATGCAGACAGAAGGAGACCACCCCAGGTCTGGATGCTCTGACTTAAGCATGGGAGCTAAATTTCCTGCATTTTACATCTGAGGAAATGCATCCCTAAGACTGAATTCTAAGCAGTCTGTAGTGAAACTGGTAGTGGAACGTAAGTGTCATAATTTCAACCCAGTCACTTAATCTCAGAACAAGCCTGCTTGTACTGTTAGCACTGTGTGGCACGGTGAACCAAGGATAATAATGTCTCCTTCAGAAAGCAACACTGAAGGTTATTTTACATTAATTAAATGCTTAGAGCTTCTCAAAGGAAAATAACAAAATCAAAGGAGTACAAACAAGAGTTCTATAAACAGCAGGCATTTTTACTACATTTGGGCTCAAAAGGATTCACAAATGAGCACGTTTCCTGATTAACTGAACAGTATTGCATGATAAAGTAACTCAAAAGAGTTTAGTCTTTTCTTTACTATTTTTAAATATTTGTTCCAGCAATCCAATATTGACAAGATAATTTTGTACACACACATAAGCATGTTTAAACTCGTTTCCATACTCTGGAGTATTGTTCACCATTGTTTGGAGACAAAATACTGGAAGGGGAATAAGCGTTCTCATGTAAGGTATTTCACTCATTAAGGTTTCTGGATATCCAGCTCCAAACAAAGGATCTGGAGTTTCTCAGGCAGAAGAATATGAATCACCATTAGACTGCTCTGCTAAAGAAATTAAGCTTGAAGCAGAACTCAACTATTTCCTTCCCAACTGGAAAGAGTTTTGCACCGGACACATTTTGCACCGGACAGAGTACCGTGCAGTCCTACCAATGTAGCTCCTGCTGGTGGACATGGGGAGAAAACTCAGCCTGTTGAAGCTCAAAGCATTTCTGATGCTGCCCAAATAATGTGATTAAACAATCACCAAAAGACTGCTATTTTCTTTGCTGAAGAGTCCCTGTCGTTTTATGCCTGTTATAAAAGATCGTTTTTTGACAAGAATTAGCTATGAACCAAATGCAACATGCCATAAGACTACAGGGTAAGAGTCAGAGTTCACACAGTACAGGCCCTGGTCTACCTCGTCAGTGAAGAATGGGAAAGTCAGGTGTTTACAGCTCTGTCATGCAGTCTTTGAGGAAGCAGAGCTCTCTAACCCTGAAAATCTTGATTCAGCACATTTCAAGGTCTTGTAAACGATACCTTACTACAGGCACCTCCGATTCTCACAGGAGCGAAAAAAGGAGCCGTAGTGGGAGGCTGGTGCCATCTGCTGGTACAGCTGCAGGCTCCATTTGATGAAAAACACGGTGAGGATCCAAGGGAATTTTAGAAATAAGCAGCAGTTTGAAGCAAAAGAAAAGGAACTGCGGAAGTGTTTGTTTATGGTGGCGATGCTGCAGAAGAGAATGCCAGATGTGGATTCTTCTGCACTGCATGTTCTTAACTCTGGAATGGTTAGGGTGAACTTGACTGCTTGATGGTACAGGATAGATTACACATTCATCTATTTCTCATATCTTTACAATCAAATAATCATCCTGTTGGAAAAGCAAGATAAAACCTCCTAGTGCTGTCTGACTAGGGGAAGGGGAAGAATGTGGTGTATGACAAACTCAGTTTTAAGATATTAATAACTTTGAAAAAACCATTACAATCTCTGGCTAAAATAATGGATCACTGACATGAGAACAGTGGTCTTTGATTTTTAGGTCCTGCATCAGGCACTTAGGGAGCTGATCCTAGAGGGGGTTATGGACTCACACCCACTAGTTATAAGTGTAACACACATGCAAGAGTTTAGGTTCCCCTCCTCCCCAGTTTTGCAGACATTCTGAGGAATGGTTTCTGGTATCTTCCAGACCACCACTATTCTGCACCCTGCAGGCTGAGAACAACTAGATCTTCCTTAGTTGAATGCAGCCTTAGCCTGCTCTGATCCCACTAAAAAAGTATTCCAAGCTGCAAACAGCTAAGGGTCTATTTTGGGAAGGGGCAACAGTGTTCAAGCTTCTCATAACAACGCTATTAGAGGTAGGATGAGCATCACTGTAGGGGAAAGTATGCTCTGCCTCTGGTTCCTGTACCTCCCTAGAACACATACAGCTAGACTCTTGACAATTTCATCTGGTGCAGCAATTCCTACATTCCTAAAATCTAGTCCCATTGCAGGGATACAACTTTATGGGGGTACTGATACCACCAACAAACAGGGACACACACCTGCATAAATCATCCTGGATTAATAACCTCCTATTTCACCTGAGCTTGCCTGTTAAAGCACTACTGTTAGCAAGAATGTTCCATTGTACTCTGAAAGTCATATGGACAGTGGTAAAGTGTGGCCACACAGGGACTGAAACAGTTGAAAGAAATTTTCTTCTTTTTCTTGAGAAGGGGTGAAAAATCCTCAGGGATTTACCAGGGCCTGAAAGCTGGGGACTGCTGTGATGCTGAGAGTTCATTCACATGCAAGTCACAGGTAAAGGACTTGGGAAGTGATCAACTCCATCACCAGCAGGGCCAAAGTTGCTGGCACAAGTCTTCTGCAAGGCAGATTCAGGCTCCAGCAGGGCTGTATGAACAGCAGCGACTCAATGCACAGTGTTAATGCAAACAAGTTGAAAAACTGAAGGCAACGTGGGGTGCACTTACCGTTCAAATTCCACTAGATCTGGGGAAGAAGTGTCTGAAAACTGGATCAGTTCTGGCTTCCCATCTTCTTCCAGTGTTTGTTTTTCACATTCTTGAATCAAATACCAGATGGCAGAGTCACTTTCACTCACGTCTTCTGAGGCTGAGGTAATGCTGGAAAGAACACAAAAGAAAAAAGCCACATGAACAATTTCTTAACTGGACCTCTGTCATGGTCACTCCAGAGTCCAGGGCTATTCTTCCCAAGCCAGCTTTTCCCTCCTTCTTTTGCTTTGCAGGAGAATGAGAAGTCCTTGGTGGAGATCAGCTATACAGAAGGGAAAGAAAATAAAAGCACTGACTGGAAATGAGACCAACAACATGCTTAGAATGTTTGTGTACTACATGGGATTACAGGGGTCCAGGGGAAATCTCTTCATCCTTTTCTCATGATGAAAGACCTCTGCTTGGAAATACAGTAACAATGACAAAGAGGTTCAAAGATGCTGGGATGGAAGCAAGTGCAAAGTATTATCATCTTTTCTTGACTGGTATAAGCCCTTACCTGTGATTGCTGAATTGCCTCTTGACATATTCCTCCCTGACTTCCTCCAAGCTGGATGGGTTCCCATCCTCCAGACTGTAGCTCTCTGTTGTCAGCAGAAAGGTTACTGTTACATCAGTGGCACTTTTGGCTTCTCACTCACCCTCAGCCTCGACCAAACAGAGTATTTTCAATAACTGGTTCTTCATGAGCCAGAGCTTTTCATGAGGGAAAATAATGTGAAAGAAGAAATCTCTGCCTCTCCTACAATGTGACTAGCATCATTGGGAGGTTATGAACACTGAGGAACTTAGAATAAATGCCTTGTTCCTAACACTGATCTGACAGAACTGATGGTGAAAACAACAAGCAAATCAAAGTTCAGGCATGCACTAGTCAATACAGTATTTTGTGATTACCATATAATGAACGAATTGCATGTAAAAAAACCTGACATCCAAGCTGTGATTACCACAAGCAGTATGAATTTTACATATATGCAAGTCAATACAAGGGGAAGCTTGCCTCCAAGCTCCGCTTGGCCAGCCTCACCACTTGTGATCTCTTCAGTTTTGCTCTGTCAAAATACTCTTTCTACCTATGACTGACTTTTACGGGTCATCCAAAGATGTGGTTTCAGATAAGACTGTTCATTGTAAGCACTGAGACTTCCAATTGATGTAAATTATTAGAGGTGCAAGTTGCATAAACAGCAATTTTTTTCTTCTAGCTGACAAGAATTTGGACACTTGAAGGGACAAAAAATTATGTCCAAAGCCTCTACCCTATAAGCCCTTAGTCCTACTTGCTGCCAGTGGAGGCAGTGGCCAGCATCAGTAAACAGAAGGCTCATTGTTGAGGGTGTGAAGCCCCACAGCAGGAGCTGCCTCAGCTGCTGACAGCACATGCTGACCCGCGTGTCACAGGCTGTGACAGAGGAGGGCATGAAGATGACCCATCAAGCGGAAAGAAAACAAAACTGTACCATCTCTCTTAGCCAATTTTATCAGAGTAAACTCTTAATCAGAGGCTTCCATTCCCTACACTAGGAAATCCTACCTCACACCAGAGCCTGCAGTTCAAGCTCTCACGCCGCTGGGTGCTCCTGAGGGCTGCGACTCGCACTGCACCACATTGCTGCGGCCAGGAGGAGCACACATGCTCCCACAGTGAGTGAGGCTCCTTAGTGAGAGCCTAAGGATCCAGCATGGGGACCCACACCAGGCCACACCTGCTGGGGGCAAATCGGCAGCAGCGTGGCAAGGGCACTCAGGCCTGCTGCCATGGCATAGCAGGAAATACGTGTTTCCTTTCTGCACCTAGGCTGGGGAGGGAGTAGGAAACACTGAGTTAGAGGGGGATTTCCGAGATGCAGTGCTTAGTGGGTTGATAGACTTTTCGCTATCCCTTGCTTATTGCTACAACTAAAGCCACAGTTGGCTGTGATGCTCAGCTGTGCACCTATCTGTCTCTGTTTAACAAATACATAAAGACCAAGTGCAGGCACTTTGTCCAAGCAAATACTCGCATAGTTACCTTTCATCTTCAGCAAAGAACACAAGGTTTGCTCCAACTTCTGGATAGATGTCTTAGCCTTACGCAAAACCTGATACTAAACATAAGAAGAAAACAGAACTGATTATTCTCTGCTCTAACTAGATTCATGTTTGAAAATGCCTTGATTTTTTCCTTCACTTTTCCTTCATTTTGACCTTCAGTAATTTCCATGTCTCTGAGAAAAAAATGATGTTGTTTCACCAGCTACCCTTATACATATGAAAAGGGAAAATAATAACATAGTAAACTTCAACATAGAATATAAATATTTGTATATATTATGCAATACATACACATCACACCCAGTCTCAAAGACATTTGCTACTTAACTCTGATCTTTTTTCATCAGCAAATGGTCTTTTTTGGATCATTCTCTTCTTGGAGCATGTCCAGAAATACCATGCTGTGAATCCTTGTTGGATGCCTACCAACTTAAGGCATAAGATTTTAGTAATGATTTCCTGTGAGAATTTTGCTAGGAGAAGCCTTTGCCATGCTCTACTCTCAGCTGATGTAAACTGGAATAACTTCAGTGCTGCACATCACCCCATCATTTATACGAGACATAACTGAAAACATACGACCAGTGCATTTAAACATACACATCTCCAAAATATTTGAAGATTTACGTGTGTGGTGAGACCATCCATGATCACCTTACATGGGATGTCTACCTTGCAGAGCTTTCACGACAGATATTTTAGCAAGACACTAAACACTAAGGATACAAGTGACCTTCTGTATTTAGGCTTTTTCAAGATATTAAACTTCCTCGACCCCCTGATGTCACACAAGCGGCACATGATACTATGAAAAAGCAATTTTAAGAATTGGCATGTGAACATAGTCTCCTTAGACTAGGCAAAGGAAGTAGTAGTTTAGTTTTGGCTTCTGAGATCATGATGACTTCAGCTTAACTTGCATCTTGCTCAGAACATGGGAAACCAAACTCTTACCTCAACCTACATGAGAGCTAAGGGCCTGAGCAGGCACAAGCCTCATATAGAAGTATTTGGCATGTTCATAGCCCTGTACAAGGACAATTCCTGTCCTAAACAATCACTGCCCTCTCCATTTTTCAAACTGGAAAATGTAACCAAACAACAATGTAACCAAATGAATTGGTGGCAGGGTTGAGAAAAGACTCCTGATGTTTATTTCTCTGCCTCCAGCATAGCAATATCAATCTGTTCAGTAGTATTTTGAGTAAATTTCATCTTTATAAACAATTTTGATTAAATAGTTTCTTTGTTTAGAAGAGACAAAGAAACAGTACCAGTGGTTTTTTTTTCCTGATCTTATTTTTCCAGAGTGTCTTGAAGACAGAGCCTCATAAGGCTGAATGAATTTCTCCCTCCCCTCTAACTTCTTCTGTCCCTAAACTCACTATTCTGATTTCAGAGCAAAATGCTGTGAAATCAAGATAACTCCATCACGAGATCCCTTGGTTTGTTTCCAAAACACTATAAAAGAAAACGCAAAGCTAGAAAAATGCAGCAAAAAAGCCTGTAAGAATAGTGCAGACAAGGCACATGATAAACCCATGACCCAGAAACTACAAACTGAACAACTTGCTTATGCTGAGTTGGCAGCTTTAAAGAGATCCAGGAAAGGTGCATATAGTGAAGTTACACACACACCAGCACCCACTAAGATACAGTGGTCATCCTCATAAATTTAACCTAAACCTGGTTAAGTTTGAACATGCTTATGTATTACAGTGATGGATAGGGAAGTAGTTGCTGCTCCGCACCTTTGAGGCACAGTTGTCTGACTGGGAAAAAACTCTTCCCCGCAAGCTGCTGAAGAGTCTTGCCAGAGGAACCCGGTGGTGTGCCTGTGGCAAGTGCTGCTTTGCCATACAGTGTTCTACCTCTTACAGGTGTGTCAGGGGATTGAGACTCACTCTGGCATGTATCTTCCTACAGTCTCCAGCTGTCTCTGCCGAAAGCTGCAATGCAACATTTATTTATACTGAATAAATATCTAAGTGAAGAAAAAGAAATCTTACAGCCTGCATAGTGGTCAGACCAAAACAAACAAAGAAAAATATGTGGCTGATTGACAAGGGCATTCCAGCTCATCTTTGTGTAGAAAATCAAGGAGTTTGAAATATTCTCTTTGCCTGACAGATCCCTGCCTGTTAAGTACTTACTAAAACGCTAATAATAAACTGCAACACAGCTTAAGCTAGCCTCCCACCTCCTGCACACTTCCCCGTTTCCATCAAATATCCAGGGCTCGGCTTCACACTGACTCCTCTCCTTCCACAGATGTTACTAAGTGACAGACTTCTTTACAACATTGGATTTTTTTCCCCAATTAACTGTGACATTTGTGCAGGCAACGATATCAGACATACACTTGCACAGGAGGGCCAGATCCAGGCGCAGCCAGGCCTGCTGCAGCTGCCCCGCCGGCCTACTGACAGAGCTGAGGGCCCGTCTGGAAGCCCTTCCCGCCTGCCAACTGGAAGGCCAATGCCGCTTGCCTCTCCGCTTGACCGATGATTCCACGCAAGTAAGGCTAGGGGTAAGAAGGCCCCGCCCTGCTGTTCCTTCCGGCAGCGGGAGGGGAGAGGCCGGCGGGGGAAGCCCGCGAGGCGCGCCGACTTCTGTCAGGGACGGGGTGTGGTCCCTCGGTGCGCCCCGCCCGGAGCCGCCCTGCCGCCGCGCCTCTGGCCGCGAGCGCCAGGCAAGCATGAGCGCCACAACGTGGCCAACGGCCAATCGCGACGCAGCGCGCCGGACGGCGCGGCCCAAATCAGAAGGCGGAAAAACGCGGGCTCCGAGCCCGGTGGGGGAAGAGGGGCAGGGAAACAGGCGGGAAAAGGAGGGCGGGCAGGCATGCTGGGAGCTGTAGTCCTCACCGCTCAGGGCGGGCCTGCCCGCCCGCCCCGCCGCACGGGCGGAGCGGCCGGCGCCGCGGGTCCCTATGGCGGCGGCGGAAGGAAGCGCACGGACGAGCTGGTGCGGGACTATCTGCTCTTTCCGCGCTTTACGGCACCTGAAGCAGCTGGACGCTGGATCAAAAGGCGGATCGGGAGAAAGGCTTCCGGGTGCGGCGGCGGCGTGTCCCCGTTTCCCGGCGGGGCGCTGGGGCTGGGTGCCCCAGGGGAGGACGCGGTCCCCCGGGCAGGCGCGGGGCGCCTCTCCCGCGCTCCGGGGCTGGGCGAGGGCAGCGGGCGATGACGGCGGCCGGGGCCGGCTCTCGGAGCCCCCGCGCCTTCCCGCCGGAGCGGCCGGCCCCGCCCGGCCGGGCTGGACTGGGCTGGGTGGCGGGGCGGGCCGGCCCGCGCAGAGGACCCCGGTCTCGGAACGCGCCCGGCCGCCGGCCGCCGCCTGTGTGCGCGGCTGGGACGGCGGGGCACTTCAGCAGGGGGAAGGCTCCCCTCCTGCGTGGCTCCGGAGCGGCGTTAGCGCAGGACAGCGGTTTTCATCCCCTCGCCTGGCTTCCCAGTCAGGGAGCACAGTTCCCGGCCAGCCGCCCCCGCCGGTGGTCAGCCTGGCCCGCCCAGAACTGCCGTCTGTCCGACTGGCAACCCACCGGGGGATTTTCGGCTTCGAGTCGAGGGGAACAGAGGAGATCCGCGTACCGCGAGGGCAGCGGCAGGAAGACATCTCTTTGCCTGGATCTTTTCTTGGTCATGAGATTCTTGTCCAGCGGCATTACAGCTCTGCTTCTTAGTTTGTGTGTCTCAAGCACCAGCTACCTAGACAAACGTGTGGAAGTTGGCACAGAATTTGCCAGTGTCAAAAATAGTTTCAGTCTATTATGCGAGCTGCATGTTCGTGTAACAGCAGGTCTGAACACTGACTGTAATGCTTTGAACAGTCAGATTTTTCTTTAACCACCAATCCAGCCACTACTTTTATTATTCATAAAGCATGTTGCTTTTATTTTTAAAACACTAGCACTTTGCTAATGTTTAGAGATTGTCAGACAGTTGACTTAACTGGAATTATTGTCCAAGAAGGAACTGCTGGGGTCACAAACTTCAGTTTCATTTATCTGTAGGAAGCCACAGAGATAGAAGTTGAATGATGTCCTGAAACATTAACTGATGAGGGGAGAGCAAACCACATATTAAACAAATTCAGTTTAATTTTATGCAGGGTACACAGTTGGTTTTTTTTCCTGTTGCCTCTCTTGGCCATCAGAAGTCACTGAACAAAAAATCTATTCCCACACCACCATTCTTCCTTATTCATATTGCAGAAATTATTTTCAGAAGGACATCATAATAAAAAAATCCTTTTGCAAAATTTTACGCCTACCTTGTTAGTAGATGAAATTATTAAAGATAAAGGTACTTCAAAGATTGCAATACAACAAAACTGACTTCCTCTTTCTATTGGCTAAATGTAGGGGTGTTTTTCCTTTTAGTCTAAAAATAATGCTATTTTTTTCATATACTGCACTTGAGTTTTCAACATTTGATCCCGTTATTACTTTTTCATTATCAAGTGACTTTTCAAAGCAGTGGAAAGTTTTGCTTACTTGCAAAGAACCCTCTCAACTGGGCTTAACAAAATGTGATATTTCTGTGAAAATCTGTTTGTCTATGTTCTGTCATGTTTCTTTTTCTTTTATTTGGAAAGTGCTGCAGGGTGGAAGAATGCCAATACAAAATGCAGTGTTTCCAGGATTAGGAAAATGGCTAATGCATAAGTGTTGGATTGTACCATTTATGCAGTTAAAACTTCTCAGCACTGAGTTACAGAAAGTCTCTTGTGCTGCAAGAGCCCTCAATGATTTCAGTCTTCTCCGTTTTGCCCTCTTTAGGTGGATAAGATAGTGGACCAGCTGCAGCAGTTCGTTCAGAGCTACGACCTGGCTGCCCTGCGGGATTACTGGAGTTATCTGGACCGACGCCTTTTCAGCCGTTTGGAAGACGTGTACCGGCCAACGGTGAACAAGCTCAAAACCAGCTTATTCCGATACTACCTTGTCCATGCTATTCAGGTAGTGTTTGATCTTTAGGCTTCTCTTTTATCAAGATCCTGGTCTCTGAAACCAGAGAGTAAACTGCTCTTGTGAGCCTCTGACAGGCCTGGTGGGTAAGGAGCAAGCAATTCATGTGTTGTGGTCAGTAGTGTAGTAACGAGGTTGATGCAGTCTCACATGACAAGCTTGTGTGAAGGACAGGGAAACTCGGGCAAGGGGGAAACACAGTTAGCTGAGAGCAAGATGTTCACAGTCTGACGTGAAGGCAAGTTCCCCTCAGAAGGATGCTAGCTCAGTCTTGCTTAGCCTCTGTTGATAACTTGGATACTGGCAGAGATCACAAGGTTCAAATTGGTACAAGGAAATGTGGGAGAGAAAATTAATATCTTTTTGCTTGCTTTCAATAGAACAGAAAATAATGAGCTTAAAATGGAACAGAGATTAACTTACTGAAACCCTGGGAAAGTCAATGGAATATATTTTCCCCTTGATTCTTCCTCCTTGATTCCAGTCCCTGACTGAAAATCTTGATTGGTGTTGGTGGAGGAATCAAAATCTAATGCACATTTCCAGAAGTGCATTTTTTCATATTTTATTTTGCCGTGTGCTTACTCTGAGGTGTGACAACCCTGTCTGAGTAATGTATCAGACGGAAACCTTTTCAGGTTACATCTGCTGTAGGCTTGAGTTATTTGATGTATACTTTGGTCCTGAGTATGAACGCTCACGTCTTATGTCAGTGCACGATCTGCAGTGGTTTAATTGGAGATCAGCGTGTTTAGTTTGATTTGTCTCAGCCTTTAAACAAGATTGTGGTGACTAGAAAGAAGGTTGGATTAAGTGTATTTGTGAGCTTCTCGTAGCGTATTTGAGATTCTTTTGTTCCCTTATGAATCTCTTAACTCTAGCCACTTGCTGTGTCAGGTGGTGAAAGTAGTTGTTATTGTGTTCATAACAGAACATAACAGAGAGCAAGTATTCCTAGACCTAATCTGACAGCATTAATAGAAGTGTGAGCCCTTTTCTTCTTGCTGTGTTTCAGAACGGCCGCAATGACAAGGCGCAGGAGTTTTTCCTCAAGCAGGCCTCCGAGCTCCAGAACCAGGTGGAGTGGAAGGATTGGTTTGTCCTGCCCTTCCTCCCTGCCCCAGACTCCAACCCCACCTTCGCTACCTATTTCTCCCGCCAGTGGGCAGATACATTTATTGTGTCTCTGCACAACTTCCTGAGTGTCTTATTTCAGTGCATGCATATCCTTTTTTGCAACTAATAGTTAAATCTCCCTTGCCATGGTGTTATACTGTTAACAGTGATGCCGAGAATGTAGTATTACAGAACCTGTATACCAGTGTAGTATTACAGAACCTGCTGCTTTCAGGTGATTGTTTAAAACAGCCAAGACTTAATAGGAAGCTGGTGTTTACCAGAGGATGTTGGAATAGTTATTGCTCAATTATCTGATGATATGTTACATTCCCTGGGCACAAACAACTGTGATTGTTGCTTATGCAGCCCTGTCCTAGTGACTAGAAATCTTGCGCACACCTTGTTCTGAAATGCTTTTACTCTTTGCTTGACATAGTACAAAACAGGCATGCACCCGTGGGTCATAGTCCATAACTATTCTGGCATCTTCTGTTAGACTCTTCTCTGGGTACATTATGTTCACAACATTGTCTAGTGACAGCTCACTACAATAGGGCAGTTAATTGTTGGCAGAAGTTTTTGCCTCACACTACAGAGTTCTGGCCTTATGTGTTTGCTGATGGGCAGGCTTACACTGTGGCTGGAATACAGCTCATCATGAACTGTTTCTTCAGTGTACAGTAAAGCAGTAACATAACCTGTCTTGTCTTCCAGCTCTGACTGTAAAAAGGAATAATCTAAAAATCCTTACAAAGTCCATGTGAAATAGTTTGTGCAACAGCAAAGTACAAAGTTGACTCGGTAACTAAGCTGTTGCTAATCTTCTGGTCGTGATACTTATTGCTAGTTGTATGGACTGGGCAGCTTTGTTTTTACAGGCAAATGGCTGGTATGGAGTGCTGGCTTTTAGAATTAAACCAGGTGCTCACAAGTTCGTGCCTTGATTTTCTTTAACATTCCTTACCGGTTCCAGTCATACTGAACTTTGAAGCTGAATGTCTCAGGAGCAGTCTCATACAAGAAGAAAATGAATCGCTGCGGCATAAGGTCAGAACTGAGGTCACTCTTTAGCTGCTGACTGTGTGATGCTGTGAGTTTTGTAAAATTGGTTCCACCCATTCAAGGACATACTAACTGTTCAGTTCAGTGCAGTTATTCTAAGGCAGATTGTTAAATCCTTTGTTATATTTTGATTTATATTTCAATTGTCTCCAGCAAACTTAGGGTTGTGATC